AATAGTCGCCAATCTGTCAATATTGGTCGTCTGGCACGTGACGAATTTTATCGCGAAAGCAGTCAAGATTAGAAAATTAAACTTATTGGAATATCGATGAGCCTCACTTACACCTCGCAGAATGGTATCCAACTCACTGCGTACGTGTGTGTGGTTGCTAGCGTTTTGAAATCGAGCATTCGGCCACCTTCAGCGAACAGTTCATCAATCATCACTGCCAGCTGTCGCCTCGTGCACTGTGATTAGTTGGAGGCGATGTTTATGCTGGCATTCTTCATGAACAGCTACCACTCGTATTCCTTTAGCCAGAAATGACGTCGCATTGTTTATTCATGCTCTGTCGGCTTCCAGTTTCTATAGCGATATCCACTAAGATGCGCAGCGATACGATATCCAGAAATTCCTGTACATGTAAATAGAATAGTTTGAATATAAACAAGATTAAAAACCATGTGGTGCTCACTTATTAATTGAAAGACTCAGAATCAACTACCTCTAGTGTTTACCTCTACGGTTACTGCTATACCTACGTGTTGAAGAGGTCGAATTTTTCACTACCGTCACGAGACTAATTGAAGAGGCCGCAATACTTGTTTTTTTACCTGCAATACAAAGCGGGGTTGTTGCACTTCAAAATTCTATTTATTAAGTTGTGGTTAAACTGGTGGCCATATCTTCAGCGTATATCTGTCAGCTAATAGATGACATGTGCATTGTGCTTCATTACGTCATTGTTTTGAATCATTTGTTTTTGTCTCTTTTGAAGGCAAGCTGCTACATTTTTACCGTAGCACTATTGAAAGTGCTGTTGATTACATAAGCTGCTGTATGAGCTAAGCGATTAAAGCATAAGAATTTTAGCGAGATTATTAAATCAGTTAACATTACATCCATTAACCATACATTGCAATTGAAACTTCAGCAAGAGCAACCAGCATTCGTTGTCAGTCGCGTTCGTAATAATAATGCAACCTTGAGACAGTTCAAAAGGCTGCTGGCTATAGCTGCATATGTCACAACGCATAATCCAGCAACATGCGTTTGTCAAGCTCTATTCAAGACTTTGCAACTTTTTGCCTCTATTGAATTGCTACTCGTGGCGGTGATTTAGTCACGTGGACCAGCGATGTCTAGTGGGCAAACACTCGAGTGGTTTTTAGAATATCACTAGGGAAATCGAGTGTCTTGTTATTACTGACAGGCCGAAATTTTTCTAACGTCTTAGGGCGGTACTGCTGTATAACGTGTACATAGCTCCAACTTCTCCTCCAGAGTCTTTGCATCGTTTTCAACACATTTTCAGACCACACATAGTTCTTCGATTGATAATCTTTCGGCAGTTGCGAAAGTTTTCAATCGCCATAACTACACATTTCTGGAGTATATTAGTTTAACCGATATCATAAAATTCAACACCCGTCTAAGCAACGAATTGAATGATATTTTCGTGAACGCGAGCAGTCTTTATTACGTACAGCAATTTGCTCCATCCTGCATATCTTTTTGCCCAACTAAAGATCTCCTATGCTGGCATTATTTCTCTCTGCTTTACTCGCCGCATGCTGCGACATCGCTAGAAGAATGTCTCCGTAATGAACATGTGTTCAATTTTTGAAATAACTGACTGGCCGGTTTTCAGACTCTAACCTTCGTTAGTGGGCTGATGTGATCAATTCCTACATCGCTTTGTGTACAATAGCTTTTGTCCCCCCTGAAATAGTGTTTATCAGCCAACGATGCATCTCTTTTGGATTTTTCATTCGCTTTGGTTGAAGGAAAAAAAAGTTGCATGTACAGCGAACATAAGTTTACTGCGTGTTCTCGCCTTCAAACACTAATTAAAGCTGAAATCAGGCGTGTCAACAAAGCATATGCTGTGCGGCTTCTCACTCGGTATTAAGGCGAGCAGCTTTCGAATGGCAATAAACAACTGTGCAGCTGCAGATCGTCGACACTTTCTTCTTCGGTCAACTTGGAAGCACTCAGACAATTGTTTTTTCGGGACGAGAAACAGGCGCTTCAGACCTATTGCAGCTCTTTAATCCAGAAGTGTCATGTTCTGTTTTCAACTGTTTCCGCATCGTACCGATACTTTCTGAGGTTCTGACGTAGTGCCTTCGTTTATGCTAAAATCATGCGCTCGGAAAATCTCACATATTTACTATCAAGTCTTCAAACATTCGATCTCACTGGTGAAAGTTGCCGGTTCTTGGAAACGTGTCAAGACGTCTTTCTGAACAAATCTAGCTCAGCAGATCTTAGCGATTTTGCTCCTACAGCCACTTCTTCGATAAGTACACGTTAAGCGGCAGTCAAATTAAGTAGCTGTTTACACCAACGAAAGTTTGTCCTTCAAGTATGATAACCAAGGCAGGAATGAGTGAATTTAGTTTCAGTTCTGTCTAGCAGTAAATGCTCACTATTTTTTATCCTGTACCACCGCAGCAAAATATCATAAAAAGTTATAACCAAGCTGAGCAGGCTATTTAAGTGAGTGATAAGCCACTGCACCGTCTTCGCTCAAAATGCGGTGGCGCTTCATCATCGTGATTGAGATTGCTCGAGCTGTATAAGATGTCGCTCGTTATCGACAATATCATGGATTGCCCAGACCCCTTAAGTTTGTCGTTATACAGTAATTTAGCAAAATAACCTCATTCTGGCCGCTTGTATCGTGGTTCAGACTTTTTCGGTACAATATGTACCTGATACTCCTGACCATTGCTAAGGAAATGTACCTGAGCAGACATTAAGATATACAGCTTTGCACAAAAATTCTTTGGGAGGTCCTACAGAGCATCGTGAAGATTATGAGCATTCAAGAACTGACCCAGGGGACAGTAACGCAGTGAGCAGTAATTGATCGGTCTTGCATTTTAGAGATGCGGAATTAATATCCCAATACGAAGTAAAAGTGTCTTATTAACAGGAAATTGTATCAGTCGAATAATTCATCTCACTGTACTTCAGTGAAACTGACCGATAAGCGTAGATCGGGTCTCCGTTAAAGGCTGCTGCAAATAATAGGTATAAAACGGTTTCCTGGCTTGGTACCAGACCCTGTGAAACATGAGGCCATGTCGTCTGATGCGCGCGTCTTCCGACTACTGTTCGCCTTGTTCTACCTGATGGCTGACCATGAAGTAGCAAGAGTTGCAGACGGCAAAATAAAACAAATAATAAACCTTACCTAAGGAATTATTCTATCGGCAACTTCTAGTTTTTATGTCACAGGAGGTAGAATGAGATTTTAGCGTATCCAGCATTCAAGCGGAAGAAAATCGCATGAACCAGTAAAGAACTGTAAATTTACAAGGAATGAGGTGCCATCTTATGTCGTGTTCTTCGAATGATTTCCATTTTTGAGTTTCCGTATCGCGAGTTGAGTGCACTGATTTCATGCTATCGTGTTACGGTGATATCCGCTAATGCTACAGGGCATATTCGATATGCACTGCGCAAAGGACAGCGAAGCGACCTGATCAAATGTAATAATATTTCCGTCATACGAGCTGCTTCTGAAGAAAACTATACCGTTGTTTTTACTTTTTTTTACTTTCCTGACATTGTATATATTTTAAAAAAATTTTTAATATGTTACCAACTACATTTGAAAATATTTTTTGATTTCTCTGAGGCAGCTTGTTTCGATAGCAGCTTCTTTTTTCGAATCAGGGAGACAGCCGCGTCAGTTGACGTATCCAATGTTTCTGATTCTACGCCAGTGTTGGAGGTTTGGTAGACAATAACTCGAGCCTGAAGCAAAGTCTGTAGAGACGCTTGATCTCTGTCATTTTTGGCCGTCCCAGAGGTTCTGGATCGGTCGGCTGAGCAAGCAGTAGCTGTGTGTTCCTTTCTGAAAGTAATTGCAAGACGTTACCAAACCATTGTAGCTGCAGCTTGTCAATCTGGAGAAGCAGCGACTACACACCAAGGTTTCCTCGAACTCTGTTCAGATGCGTTAGCCCAGCCATTTACCTCAGAAGCTCATTTCCGCCGCTTTTTAACTGAAGCTCACAATATTATGTTCCTTCTTGAACAGTGGTACTGCAACCCATGTTTTCGAATCTGTTCATGTCTTACCTGCAGTCATTGCAGTTTGACAGGCGCGTATTAGCCATGATATGGTTTGAGTTTGTCTTCTTTGAATGGATACTTTTCCATTAGTCATGAGTGTGAGCTTTTCTGTTATGTACGAATCCAAAATATAAATTTCATGATAGCTTAGTTTCAACGTTTGTTTATTTTAATCAATATTTTTATTGCATGTGTTTAGCCGCCAAACGTCTGCAACGCAGCCAATCGATGGATATGCTTTTAGCTACTCTCCATTGATCACTTGTGACAGCCTGGAATTGCTAGAGTTGTAAGACATCCACTTAGAGTTAGTAACAATAGAATGTCTTGAATATCTTCACTTGGATCTGGCACATTGGCAATGAAATTTTTCTGTGGACCTCTAAAAACATCGTCTAAATTAGTGTTCTGCCGGCCGCACTTTTTTTCTGGTGCATTTTGTTATCGTCATGTTTATTCACTTAGCAGTACTGTGGTTGTTTAAAATTCTTGGGGTTAGTTCAGTTCAACGCATTTTGTTTTTTATGTTAGGCTCTGTTTCGTGTGTTAATGAAGAAACATCCTCATCGACACTGGACTGTCATTTAGTTTCCTCATACACGCTATGAGTTGGCACCGACCTCACATCGT